AAAGTTCAGATTTTACATGGAAAAGTTTTATGAATGAGTAGTTTACAGATTATTCGTGATAGTCTGCATAGCGCGGTGAATTTCAATGGTATCATTGCGGGAGTGAGCAAGGTTTACAGACAGTAGGACTAGCCTCTGCGAAGCAGAGGTGACGCAACTCCTATTCATAGTTATATCAATGTATAGTCACAAAAAGAATGCCCGTACGAGAAGTGCACAAATACGGCATGCAGGTGGTTCCGCGCTCTGATGTGTGCATCAGAGCCCGAAAGTCGCGCCATGCTGCTCGTCCAAGGGTCTGTACGCATTCCGATGATAAACATCAACACTTTTATTCACGCTTTGTCTCTAAAAAACCCCTGAAAAACTACTTGTTCAGCGTTTCTATCCAACCTCTTTTGACAATTTGACAAGCATCTTCGTTTGCCGTGGGATCTGCTACTGTTCATCTGTTCGCTTGGTTTAGGTGTGCTAGCAATAGCACTGCAGTGTAAGTTTGTGGACGAAGTTGAGAATTGTTGCTTTGCGTACCACGACCTCAGTTCCGAGCGCTAAAATGACTAAATATCGACAAGAAAGAGGCAACTATGTTAGTGTTGTGATCAAGATCCAACATCATATTTATGTAGTCCTCATTGCTTTGCACAGTCACTCACTGATCTTGCTGAATTACCTCATAAAACATTGCTTTACATGCTCTATTTTAAAATCACTACGTGTATGAGCCTTCACGTCTCCGTCTGTGCCTAATATGAAATTACGAAATTATAGTACAAAGGCACACTTTGTACTAAACGCTGTTTTTTTTTTGTTCGCAAACGCTATCTGAGCACCTTCACATCATCACAATTGCGGTTTCCTCGTACGCTTTTTCCGCAAATATTACTAAAGTGATGATTATTTACGGGATAAATATCAACTAAAAATTTAACTTTAAAACCAGAACATTTCCTCACTATGTTTTCAAGATCATCATCAAATTTAGTGCTGTTTGAATTTTTCTTTCTTACCAAACTGCATTTGCAAGTTAAGTAAGGCAAACTCAAGGCTGAAAACTCATGAGCAAAGAGAAAAATTGCGATAAAATTCATTATTACCAGGAGTTCTTATGATAAACTATGAAAATATTGATATGATGAAAAGACAACTTATAACACGTAGCAACGGGACCAATTAAAAATTTCTACAAGTCTTTGGCTCATAGTTTGTCCCTCCCCCTCCTCCCCTAACCGTATCTTTGTGTATGTAGAGGAGCTCGAAAGGGTTTGCAAGCAGAAAGCAGACTTTCTCCAATACACAACGCTTGGAAACAAGGCACTCTCTAGCTCCTGATCTATAGGCTCCGTACTTATCCAATATCGAAGGTCCACGTTGACGTTTTCTTTAGAAATTGTACTCACAAGGGAAGTACTTTCAGAGTTCGCGACCGTTATATATGAGATGCTTATCATCTGAAGTAGTCTTGAACGCTAATTTCAAATATGCATTCCCTTTCAGCGGAACACTTTTCTGAAAGGGATTTATGGAAGCCAGAAAATCCTAATTTTGAACGCTTTTCAAATAACGGACGCTAACGGCATTAGAATCGAGAGGTCAATGGTTCGATTTCGGTGAAGAGTGAACCCTGTCGTAGTGCATAAATCAATGCAGACGCCTACAAGTGTCTTTGACATCGACCTTAAAAAACGAATTTTCTGGCATAGCTGATTGATAAGAATTTAAAGTTTCATTCAACTTCTTTAGCAGCAAAACAAAACCAAATATGGTGAAGCATGTACATCACCATATAAAACCAAAATGCAACTTATCATCGATCGAGAAGATGCTCTCTGCTGCCTTTGTGCTCACATGTTTGTCAAGCGAATTTGGTTCTTATGAAATCACTCGCACAATATCACTATCCCTGTACATAAATTTTTGCGGACAAAACCAAGAGCTCGACAAGCAGCAAACAGGCGTTGCCAGACAATTCGCTTTTCTAAAGTCAAGTATGTCAAAGACACTTGTGTCTGCAAACGACTCCAAGTGCTATAAAACTTACATTTAAAGGCACCGTCCACCCAAATTCTCAACTTCCATCAGGGCCTTCTCATGTCCCTGATTCCAAATATGAAGTTGAAAATCTTCTAAAATCCCGAAAATTCCCATTACGGAAAGCCCACAGGCAGGCTTTCCAGAACGGTGATTAGATGAGCGCGCACAAATGGGCGGGCATGGATGGGGGTCCTCACGCATCTTCTAGCATCTTCTATTCCAAAGCGACATTTTGCGCAGGAACTTGGGCATTGGCTTAATAGGAGGCCCTACTGTTATGTGCTGCCAAAAGCTCAGCACCCTCAACTTAGGGTGGACGGTGCCTTTAAACTGCAAAAGGGCTCACTCTCCCGGAATCGAATCCTTGACCTTTCTACTAGACTACTGCACCACTAACGTGTATGGCAGCTTCCGTTACTCAAAAAACGCCCAAAACCAAAATTTTCAGGCCTTCATGACTCCTTTTCGCAGAAAGAGAATGCATATTTGAAATTAGCGATCAAGACTGCTTCAGATGATATGCTTCTCATATCAAACGCCCACGGCTTCTGAAAGTATTCCCTTGTCAATGGGGTTCGACATGTTGAAGGCACCGTCCACCCAGATTCTCGACTTCCAGATTTTTGTCGTTTTAGGGCCTTCTCATGTCCCTGATTCCAAATATAACGTCGAGAATCCGCAATCCCGAAAATCCCATTCCGGAGTGCCCACAGGCCTTCCAAAACGATGATTGGATGAGCGCGCACAAATGGGCGGGCATGGATGGGAAAGGGGGGGGGGGGCATGGATGGGGGTCCTCGTGCATCTTCGCTATTCCGAAGCGATTTTCTCGATTCCGAAGCAGCATTTTACGCCGCTACTTGAGCGACTGATAGAAGGCCCTACTGTTGTATGTTGCTAAAAGCTCAACACCCTCAACTTAGGGTGGATGGTGCCTTTAATAAGGGAACCAAAGCTCCCAACTTTTCTAGGAAATCATTTAGCGGATAAGAGTTATGCGGCTGAGGTCATCATTTAGAGGCGAATGCGACGGTAATCTACAGGGTGCATAAAAATCATTTGCGTCAACTTTGCAGCAGTACCGCAAATAACTATTTATAGTTTTATTCTCGAAATTTTTGTCACAAAATGCTGCAGTCATCCTCTTCAAAATATCGTTTTAGCCCAAAGTGATTGCCATACGTTTTTGCAAGTAATGGATAAACTATAGTACTTTTGAAAAGAGCAAAAACTCAAATTTTTGGTGTTTACATCTCATTCCACAGCTGGAGGTTCTTGGAAAATTTGAAGCCGTTTTATGTCCGCAGTGTAGAGGAGGCTTTGCGCTTTCAGATCGTAGTGATCGCGTTCGCCAACAATCATTCTATTAAAGGTGAAGACGAAAAGTTTGCTAATGTCACCAGCGTGTAAGTGGCCGTTTTGTCTTCAAATGACATTTGTAAGCTACAGAAACGTAGCTGTCACCGGATTCAGGGGTACACTGTTTCCACAAGCTTCAGATACAGTGCTTTCTTCGATAAAATTAATCCTAAAACTGATCAAGAGTAAATTTTCCATTTTTCTTTCGCTCATTCGTATCCCTAAAATGCGCAGTTTTTGAGCATATGGCAAACGCATGTCTATGGTTGAACGCCGATAATTTTCTTTCCACAACGTAGATTTTGTGGTTATGGCTTCTTGCAGCCAGAAACTTGCTCCATCAAATAGCTTGTGTTTCTTGCATTACAGGACATTTTCCATGAAGAGGCAGAACGGTTTTTGAAATAGCATTTGCGTGTTGCGCGCAACTTAGACGACGAATTATTTTGTGATTTTTCAAGCCACACTTTGAAATTCCGAACCATACTATGGTCTCTAAGTGATAAGATAGTAGTGAAACAAAACAGCTTTTGCCTACCGCTAAACTCGTATTGCGTTTGCGTCGCGAAAATAAAAATAAAAATAAAATAAACGCTCAAAAATCCTGGTGCACCCTGCATACTGGAGTTGACTGGATCAGTACTAAGCTCTGAGTTTTCCCTTATAAGCTCAAGACGTTATCAGCGTGTCGATAAAGACTTGGAATGATATACATATGCCCGTGAACGGCTTGTGTGGAGGCGTACACGAACAAAAAAACAGCGGATACTGCGGGGCATACAATTCGGAACATGCGCGGACTTTCAATGAAATCGCGCAATATTATCTATCATTCTGCTTTGTGGGAAGACTAGGAACACTGCAACGTCGGCTGCGTCAATGCAAGCCGTATTTTCGTACAAGGCTCTCTGCTCAATTGAGCGCTTCGGTTTTCTTGAACTCTGTGAGTTTTCCTACGTTTTGAAATACGTGCGTATCTATGAACCGGCTTTCTGATAAACACTGTTGCGTTTTCTTAGAAAGATTTTCACTAAAACCTGAAAGACAGAAAGACGCTATAGAAGCATATTGTGTTACTGCGATATCCACTACCTTTGTTCAAGGAGCGACTACACTTGCACTGCCCCATTCTATCGTAACACGTGCTGCACTGCTTCTACACCAAGTGATGTGTTAAAATAATTGAATTGTGAACTTACGAAAAAAGCCTTCCGCAGATAAGTACGCACTTTTGAGATCAGCATGTAACACCGACTTCAGCAACGTATACAATCCGTGTGAGTTAGTGCTCTTTCACACTGACTGTTTCGTTGGTGTTGCTATTGTGAACTCAGTATCGAGTGCAGGCCTTGAATATTTGTTAGATGTAGGCTGTGTTTTCCAAGTTTTCAGAGTGGAGGTGATATCTGTAAAACAGCATGCTTTGCTTTCAAGCCCCAAAGTGGAGGGATTAAGCTCCATCACCTAAGCTATTATCCGAAAATATGTAAAAGAGCATGCTTTGCTCGCAACTCATACGGAAATATGAATTAAGGTAGAGCGATAAAACTCTATCATCTAAGCTTTTGTTTGATAATAGGTCTCTAAAAAAATTGCCTTTTTTATAGAGTAGCAAAAAGTGTGAAAGTTGTTGATTCAACGTTGAAGAACTTGGATATTTTTGAGAACCTCGCGAAAGTGATACAGACAGAGGAAAACGGTATCGGATGCGGGTGCTTAGAAAGAGAAAGCGTCAGTAAATCTGTTGAATTTACAGTCGCAATCGAAATAAGTAGTAATTTGAACCTGGAATGGAAAGAAGGAAGTTTCCCAAATTTAACCAAAGTGGAAATTAGCAACACATCAGTTACATCGAGATCGGTTAGTTTGCGTTTCACTTGTGCGACTGTACAGATGTTGTTATTTATATACCTACTATCACAATATACGACAACCCTAAACTGTGTATACCACAAGATGATTTGACCAGACTAAAAAAGGCTGCAGATGCATTGTCAATTGATAATACTTTTATTCAAGAATGCCGTGAGTGATTATCAGAATATTACGTGCTTGGAGTTTGCTATAAATATCAAATGGAAAGACAATCTAATTGAAGATTTAGCAACACTTAAGAATGTACTTGTTTTCCATTAAGTTTACCGAACCCGTTAAAAGCAAACTTAAACAATTTTTATTTAGTGATAAGCTATCGCACGCTTCTGAATTGGATGAGGACTTTTGTGGGAAAGTGTTTATTTATCTGCAAACAAATCTTCCATTCCTTTACCTGACGGTGTTGACCACACGCAGTCAAGTAGTTCGCTTGCTAGACTGTATTGGCGATGCAGAGAAAATGGTAAAACTTGCGCATAAACAAATAGTTCGCCTGAAATGCCTGCAAGTTGTGCATACAGATAGCCCTTGCGTTATAGGCAAATCTATTTGTTTGCGCGCGAATATTACAGCATTTTGTCGGCACTGCAAGCGTACCATAATGACGCTTCAACGACAACGCGCTTTTTAGTTGTCTGCCTCATGGGACGATACCTTCCACGAAAAAGTTGATAATTTGTAGCTAGAATCAGCACATCGGCATTTAAATACACCTACAGTAAATCTAAGAAGCAGCTAAGAAACGAGGAAGTAATTTTTAGAGTCCAAATGTGAGAGAACTTCCAAAATGGATATATCTCAGAACAGTAGTCATTTGAACAAAATTTGAGCCATTGCCCAACATTTGGGTCACATTGTAGTCAATGTGTTGAGCGGAAAATTTACTTGGCTGATTGACTGTGCATAAGTTCATTCTCGAACCTATTTGACGAGGAAAGGATACATGGGGCCCTAGTTTTTTGAATGAGGTGATACCTGTCTTGACGTCCTCCTAAGAATGCTAATACACTATCTTCGTTATCTGCGAGACTCTATGAAAGGAGTTTCAAACGGATTTTTCCTCATAATCGGCGTGTTTGCACAAAAGTACAAGTAAACTGCTATATGTTAAAGGCGAATGGCCTAGTGATTAGTGTATTGAAGTGTTACACAGAGTTTGAGGAGGGGTGCTTTTACTTCTGTGTTTATTTTTACAAAGGCTTATTTTTCTACAGAGTCGTTCGTCGGTTATGAAGACAAAGGTTTGGAGCCGTTCCAAAGCGGTATTTATCTATCACACATCACGGAAGGCCATGATCACTAAGTATAATTTGCGAGCCTCACTCGGCATTGGCGCACTCAAGGCGTTACCAACGGCTATGACAAACTCTTTGGAAAACTTCCACTTCCATTCTTTAGTGTCCTGGCCCAATACACTAGCTTTCCATTATATGCTGGAAGGAAGTCAATTCAAGATGTCTTGATCTTGTTTTTATGGAAGCTCGAAGGGATTAGGGGTCGGATCCAGCGGTAACGTCGGTTCGCGTGTTAGGAACTGAATTAGCACGTTCTAGTTCGGTTTGGCATATTTTTCAAATTATTTTCGCTGAGGTAGTAGAGCGCGAGATGGTGAAACCTTTTCAGAGGTTTTCTTCTGAAAGCAAAACAGTCCGAAACTTCTACAGAACATCCTGATCGCTTTTAGCAAGATATGTCTTCTCTTCAAAGTACCAATAGATACAGCCAGAAATTGAATTAAACGTTGCCGTGATCCTGGCTGCCACTTGTTGAAATGATCAGACATGGTTGGATGGCGTTGGTTTCGACCTGTCGAAGGCTTGCCCGTAGCCGACGAATATTCGGACGCAAGGCAGTCGGTATTTTCGATAGACTTCTATGATCCTCGAAAATATCCAGGTGTAGTCCATGCAGCTAAATCCTTTGCGATCCATGTTTTTGGGTTAGGCTTCGTCCAGTGTCCTAAATATAGCGAGGATAATCTTCGTAATGAGCTTGCACAACGAACTCAGCAAGCATATCGGACAGCAGTTGCGAAGATCCTCCAGTTCGCCCTTTTTTAAAAATGGAATTGTTTTTGAAGCTCTCCACTGAATGCCAATCCTTTCTTCCTGAAGGTAAAATGTTAGATGCGAGAATCTCGCGTAGACACGTCCTCCGGCTCGCAGATGTTTTGCCGTGGACGTCTTCATGATCTTCGTGGTGCGCGCGCGGTTCAGCAAGTAGAATCCGTGGTGGTACTTTAGGAATACGGGCATCGACGACACAGATGATTTTGAGCGGAAGATGTTGGTGTAGAAGTTCTTTGCGATAGATTCTATCTTGTATCGGGAAGAAGTCGGAGTTCGCCTTCGTTCAACATTGCAGCCAGCGGTACGCGATATTTAAAATGTCCTTTCGCGCCACTTCTTGAGACAACATCTACCTTTGGCAGCTTCCATTACCTTGGCTTGCCTGTGCTTCATGAGACCCTCCTGCAAAGCTGTTTTGCAAATGGCGTTGGCTAAGGGTCGCATGAGATGAGTTGCACTCGGCTTGCCTCAGGGATCTTTTTGCTCCAAGTAAGTCCTTGATGGTCTTCGGAATGCGTTTTCTTTTCGGAAGTCATTGAGACGCATTCTCCGCACACTCGCAATACTTTCAGAAGCCAGTCGTAGTCGTACGTTGGGTCCTCCTCGATGGGCCAGTCACAAAACTTGATATGAGCTCTTCCATCCTGTTACCGTCATAAACGACTTCTTTCTTTCTTGCCGCACCGTGACAGACTTTCTTTTCCAGCTTTCGACTGCGTATTTTCGCTCGAAGGAGGCGATGGCTAGAGCCACTGCAGAAAATGGAACTACTGAGACATCGAGCAAGCCCCACCTTAGATAATGAGACTTGTGATCGATCTCCGCGTGAGTCGTTCGATGGGCTATTCCCATGTTCACCGGCGATGTTCTTTCTTCATAAAGATGGAATTTCCACGGAATAGTCGTGCGGCGGAGAGATGCCCAACGAGAAGGTTGCCCTGTTCCCAAGCCCGTATCCAAACTTCCCAACCCTATATTCCTTTTCTAGTGGCATCCCGATTTTCGCATTAAATTAGCCCACAACAAACTTATAGAAGACCTTCTCGTTGCGGACGACCTCCTCCACATCTTCGTAGAAAGCATCTAGTTCTGAATTCGACAACGCGTATTCTGACGTGGGAAAGCACTCGTAGGAGGTCCAGTCAAGGTGATAGGATCTCATGCGATTTAACAAGATGGACGATGGATGGGTGGACGATAAAGTCAACCTCCAACGTTTTGTGAGGGAACCTTCTCACCACGAATGATGAGGGTCCCATCACTCATCTGTCTCTCGTCCTTCTTCGTTGGCTTCGTTCCCTGCAGAGCGAAGACGTGGTACTGTGCTCTGCAGCGTCGAGAATAGCGTGGAGGTTGGCGTTTGTGGATACTGTCTTGGCGTTGTAGGTGCAGAGCATGAGGCAGTCTCCATGCCGTGTCGTTCGTGCAAACGTGTCGTTTTGTCCGACCCAAAAGGACCCTGAGGGTCCTGACATCGTTCTTGCTGCCACCCGGTGCCTATCGGATCCAATGTTCAGGCTTTTTTTCTCTTTTTCTAGCTGGTGGAGTGTTTGAAATTTTCCCCTACAAGAGCATACTCAACGCCAACTCATAATTTTCAAGGGGCGATTGCTAACCCAGGGTGGGAGCGGGAACCGCTTTACGATCAGTTAGCGGGGTTAGCGAGGGCTCCAAGGGGTTAGCGATCGCCCCTTGAAAGCCAGAGGGCGGGAGATCTGGCCCGATATGCTTAGCTGGGCATTCCGCGAAACTCTGATGTTCATTCTCAAGACTGTCAAACTGGAGGCGTACTGTTCAGAAAACAGAATGACTAATTCTTATGTCCATTTTCTGACTAACAAGGGAACGTTGCCAATGAAGCTGGCGAACTGTAATGAACCGCAAACTATCGGATTTGTTATAATAAACTGATTCCAAATCTATCTTCCTCATCTGCGACGCGGTTCTTTAGAAAAGTTACGAGCGTTCAAACATTGAAATTTGGCTGCACCCAAGATAGATTTCGAATTAGCTCACAACAACAACAACAACAAAACGCTGTTTTATTGTTGTTGTTGTTGTTGTGGTAAACGTTGTTTTGTAAACAATTACAATCATCTTCTTGAACGACGAAGTCTACAGGTTCCAAGAGGGCAAAAAATTGGAGAAAATAATGAAGTGTGGCAAAAATACTGGACCTGGAAAGGATGTGATTTTCCAAAGGGTATGGGCCACCGGCGGTCCACATCGTCCCTGGCGGCAAAAAGTGCGTGAGACACCGGTGGTCCACACCGTCGTCAATGAGTTGACGATATGTGGAATTGTTACTAGATTTGTTTATAAATGTATGGTACAGTTCGGAAGAGCAAAAGAAGGAGAATCGGATGGTTTACTTTGTTTGCTCAAAGAATATGTTTTTGATACCAAAATGGTGCAGGAAAGCAAAAATCTCAGATTTTAGTCAAATTTCCGGGAAATCATGCTGCAAAAAACGAACTGCAAATGGGCGTGAAGTGCACGAATGGTACGAGCACTTACGACTTCGATATATTCAACCATTTGCATGATCATAGGTAATCGAATTCAAGCGATTCAAGTTCCCCCAAAACTGACTTTCACAAGCACACACCTAGAAAGCTGCAGAAGTAGACAAACAACAGCACAGCCTCCATTGTGGTCCGCCGTGTAGCCAAGGGTTGGTGTATTGAGTTGAGCTACCAAATTACTCGTCTGTACAATTACTACGAGCCGGGTTTGAAACTTGAAAAAAAAGTGATTTTCTGGAAGGCTAGCCATATAGGGTCATGACGCCTTTGATCACGTTTAAGTCTATGCAACGAATATGTGATATAGAAGGTTGAAGCTACCCGCGCACAAAAATTTACATCTAGAGAACAGGTATCATTCAGTCTCTGACTAAGAGACGCGAGTACATTTTGCGTACATTTGATCAAGAAGTTCATGAATGAGTTTTGACGCGTTTTGGTTGACTTACTATTAGATGATTGAAAAAACGTGTTTAAAGGCAGTGTCTCACCAAAATGTGGTCGCCGAGATTTTTGCATTTTGCAAGCCTGTCGGACCCTGTCTAGCACTGTATGGGCTTAAAATCGCACGAAATTCCCAAAAACCCTGTTTTCTGGAGGCCCCGCGGAAGCAACGTGGACGAGTTGTGCCTTCCAACTTCAGCCTCAGCCACAGCGGCAGCAACAAAGGGGAGGTGGATGCCAAGTGGAGGGACATGTTCAAACGCGTAATGGGGGAGACCGAAGGAGTCGTCCGCGTGTATCTACTATAGTTGAAACGACCGAAAAATCTCGTCGAACGAATGAATTTCGAATAATCGGCTTTTGAAAAACATTCGAACGAACGAATATTATTCGATATGTGATTTTCAGATTATTCGAATTTGAATATTCGAATAATGCTACATTTAAAAATTTGAATGAACGAATATTCGAATAAATGGGGTTGGTCGAACATTCGACTATTCGAATAATCGAATAATTACATGTGGTCGAATATTCGACTATTCGAATAATCGAATAATCATACCTAACCGAATATTCGACTATTCGAATAATTCGAATAATCTCGTGCAACAAACAATGCTGGTTTTTTCTTTGTTGCGGTTTTCTGCAAGAAATTAATCGCTATATTTGATCTAGATTTGTAGCTGATAATTATATGTGTAGCAAGTGGTAGGATGACTGGGTTACTGTCGTTGGTAGGATTTCAGATAGGAAACAGAAGAAGTTTACTCAAACATGCAGTTCAAGGTGTACATGGTCTTCTAAGATGGCTACTATGCCTTACTTAATCGTTTCAAGTCCGCATTTATTCTTCCTCACAGAAGTTTTTCCCGAAGCTACACAGAACCTCTCCCCAAAGCTAAAGATTTAACACGGAAAACCTTTAAGAGTTGTTTGTAATTTATTTGTAAGGTCAGCATTGCGTGAGTTCTAAAACTAGCACTGGGGAGCACGAGGAAGGCCTACAGTAATAAAATCAGTGAACCTCTGTTATTGTCTCGAAAGAGTTTTGCCCGTTTCTTCATGCCACTATAAAACCACGCACAATAAAGACCTGAATGAGTTTCAACATGCATTCGATGCAGCTTTTCCTTCTCTTTTAAGAATACATTTTCGAAGCACAATCTTACATGCTTTCTTTGATAATTGCCAAAATTTTCCATCCGCCAATTTTATCTGCTCAAAGTTAGGCTACTTTTTTTCTTATTCCAAAGTTTCGGAAAGGACTAAGTATGGATCAAATAGAGCATCTCGGACTACAAGGAAATATTTTTGAATTCTCTTGATTTGCTGTTTTTTTAGCTTCAAAAACATTATTTCTTCGGAAATCTCGATTTTTTTCAGAGTCAAGAAACACGCAACTGCAGCAAATACACGAAAACTTTTGAAGCTTTTGGGAGTTGAAATATGATTCTTATCAAAAATTATTTATGCTACATGAACAAGTTTGATTTGCTTTGAAAAGCAGCTTTTTGGAAGTTTTGGTACTTTTACGTGGTAAACATAATCAAAAACCCGCAGTTTTTATCACACAAATAATTACAACGAGCTTGGTAAACATGGCCCATGTAATCCAAAATGGGTGCAATGTAGGCAAAGGCTTGCTCTACATAACCGTTATCAGCGCTCTTTGAAGACATCAGGATAAAAAATTTTAAATTCAGTAAAGATTTGACGTTACTTCTGAGCTGCTCAGAAAGCCGTAGCGATAACATTGCAAAGACAGAGTAAATCAGAGAGCATACAGCTGTAAGAAAGAAGATAAAAATATGTATCATATCGTATCTAAATTGTTCATGGTGTTCTGTGAATTCTAGTGCAATGAAAAAAACGGACAAAACTTTCGGGACAACCTAATACTTCTGTGCTCATCTATCCAGAAAAAGAATAATGGAAATATCTGTATAATAGCTGATAATCTAATACTTGTCGGGAATTATCAGTCACTAGTTTCACAGTTTCCGCTGTAGGGTTGAATTTTCACAAAGTTGTTTCAGTTGCATTGAGGTTTGTACTTTTGTTGTAAGGGATCTTCCATATCTTTTACTCAGGTTCAAAATAATTGTTGTTCAGCCTACACGCCTACTCGGAGTACTTTTCCTCTACTAACTTTATAACATTATAACGCTAGTTTTCTACGCCTTCGGACTATAAGGGCAGCCGATTTGAGTGTAATGACTGATATACAGGCTGCCGCAACAAGTCAAGCGGCTCAGGTCCTCACCTGCCTTGCTCTGGCCTTGCGCTGTAACGTATCTTTCAGGTATTTTGACATGCGAGCGGTGATTAGGCTGGCAAGGCAAGTGAAGATCTCGAGTTGAAGGAATGAGTGTTGCCTATACCTGCTGCCTTGAAGGACTGCTGGTCCTTCACATGCTTATGCAAGCTGTTTGAGGAGCAGTGGTCCGCTAGCCTAATGACGGCTTTTCTTCACCCAATTTAGAGCCTGGAGGTATTTCCGCATGATATTGCATCTCAACTTCTCAGACGCGATTTCCAGAAGATAGTTCAGCACTTCAAATGAATTATGCATAAGGCTCGCCATCACTATGCTCTGGCATGACTCGCGACCCATGCCTTAAAAAGGGAAGCTTGCTAGCATTATGTCGTATGAAAATTCATTTGTGTAATTGACCGATCGAGGACACACTTGTACTCATAGAACAGCTGAAGTTTTCTTTTGACATGGAATGTTCGAATGAATGTTCTCAAATATTCGAATAATCGAATGACTGTCTTTCAAGTTGGCTCGAATATTCGAATATTCGAATAACTGTCTTTTGAAATTCCTCGAATAAACGAATATTCGAATAACTCATTTTTCCAAATCATCGAATGAACGAATTATTCGAATACAGGCCTTTTTCATTTATTCGACTATTTGAATAATCGAATAATTGGACTTTCTCGAATATTCGAATAGTCGAATATTCGAATAGTCGAATATTTCGAATAACTTATTCGAACACGAATATTCGGTTCTAACTATAGTATCTACCACATCGCTCTCCGGGTACCACTTTGAGCGAATTTTTCTCAGCGTGGAGGGGGTCAAATTGAGTGGGAGTGTTGCAGTGGCCTATTTAGAGGTCGCTATAATGAATTTGTAAAGATCCGCGTGACCTCAACTTTGGTGAGACGCTGCCTTTAAGCCAGCGTGGATTGACGAGCACAAACACGTCCTTCCACGAATTCTAATAGTAAATCAACCAAAACGCGTTCAAACTCATTCATGAACTTGTTAATGAAATGTACGCAAAGCGTGCTCGCGTCTCTTAGTTAGAGAATGGATGATACTTGAGTTTTTTGGATCTTCGAAGTTGCATGTCAAAACAAATTATTCATTAGCCAACTCAATACTATTAGGCATCAGTGAAAGAACATGTTCGAGCGTGTTGGCAACGTGAACTCGAACATATTTCCATGGTTTTTTGAGTAGTAATTTGAATTTTTGAGTAGTAGTTTACGACACGTTGAAACGCACTCTTAAGCTTGTTAGTCAGGTTTACGCAAAACATGATCGTTTTTTTCAAAAGACACTATCATGTTTGATTAAAGGTAGCGTACACCCGAAATTCGTCTATCATGTTTTCAGTGTTATCGAGTCTTTTCACGGCGCTGAGTTCGGATACGAGATTCATACCACCAGTCCAAAATTGCCTCTTTTGAAGCCCTAATTTGCAGACGTGGACGGTACCCGGCGTCAATCACGTCGTGTATTACAGGAAACGTCGTCGTTTATAACAGTGCCACATTACAAATATTGCGTCTCGACGTTGCTTGTCATGTCATTAACATGTCACGGGGCAGTACGTAGGTGGGTGGAGCGCAAGGTAGAGGGTGGAGAGCAAAGAGGATTCAGGTCCGTATCTCATCTTGTATTACATTAGGGGACCGGACTAAAGCGGTTGTTCTACTTTTAGGGCTTGGCTAGTAGGATAAGTAGTAATCTGGGATGAAAATAGATTTTGGGAAAACGCTGCCTTCAATGTTTCATTAATCAGAGAATGAATGATAGGCCGGCACAACACATTCAGTAAAACTTGTGAGACACGCAGATGACATGTCAGTTTTTTGATACTTGGCAGGATCCCTGACACTTCCTTCCTTCAAGACTGACAAGGGAAGCATGTTTAGTCAAAGTGGCCTTTCTAATTGGGAAGTATACCATGTTGAAGGGCATAAAACGCTGATTTCAAAACTGCCTTCCTTATCTGCAGAACATTCAAGGATAAGGAGTAATGAACACTTTTTGGAGCCGAAAATTGAATGTGCATTTTAGATAAAATAAGTTGCTAAAATCTTACTAGCCCTCAAGTAATACAACCAAGTGTGATATAATTTTCATTCTAGAGTATTTTATAAATAAAGTGCTCCGATGATTATCACCGCTCCATTAAAAAGCTAGAAAAAGTATTACGGCTGTTTTTCCTACTTACACATTCGATATTTTGCTCCAATAAGTGCTCATAACTCCTCGTTCATAAATGTTCTGCAGATAAGGAAGGCAGTTTCGGAATCAGCATTTTATGCCTTTCGGTATGATATACATGCCATCTGAAAAGGCCACTTTGATTGAACATGCAATCATTGTGAGACCAATTAAGGCACAAGGATAGACTCAACATACTCGTAAAAATTTATTCCGGGTAACGAAAAAACCCTGCAACCTTCAACAGTTTTCTGAATTCTTCTATTTCTCTGATTCGAAATGTAGCAAATTTAGCCTAGATCAGATTGATGTTAAACTTAGGAGAATCAGTGCAACCTATGCATTGAAATTTTGCTAAAAGAGTCTTGAAAACGTAGGGTACTCTGTCAGCCGAATAGAATTTCGTGCAGAGTGTGATATGGAGACTCTGGAAAAGAACTCTGAAACAGCTAAGGATTTGGGCAATTTCACTCACTGTGTCACTTTCAATGGGAATCTCACAATCAACGAGAGAACTAATGAATCTGTACAGGTAAATTTCTGAGCAAATGAAAGATTGAATTATGAATGTTTTATGTGAATAAAAACATAAAGCGTCTAGAGCTAGACAACCAGCTACACAAGCCTGTTGTTTCATCATTCAATTATGTGTGACAAAAACTGAAAAATCCTGATTTAGCTTTTTGTCAACAGAATCAAACGAGTAGTTCATGGGTCCATCACAGTGATTGACTCAAAATGGAAGAAGTTTGCGCTACCATCGCTGGAATCTGTTGAATCGCTGCAAGGTTTGCGCCTACACAATATCTTACAATCTAGTAGATTTCCACTTTATATACTGCACTTGCGGTTCTGATTGGGTGACCAAATTTGCGCGTGAACTTCTCCTATAAAGCTGGTCTATTGCGCGGAATGCTGATTTCCGTCCGAGAGGGGGAGGTGGGACGGCAAAAATCTCTTTTTAAATGAAGGTGCGTGGCTAACACCACTCCGAAAAAAAATTGGGGTGCTTTAAATTTTTGCAGCATTATATCAAGCAGAATATCTACTAGATTTTATAAACTTCAAGATTTTGGTCGCTTACCTTTCAGGAACCGCGATAACGATTGTGAACAATACAGACCTGGAGGAAATTGAAATACCTCGATTAAGAGAGATCAAAACATCTGGAGCAAATGTGATTATCACCAATAACCCGAAATTGCGAATCACTCGCATGCTGCAGGAAAGCCTTCCGCCCCTCCTTTTTTGCCCAAAAAAATCAGATTTTCAATGTCTAACTTCAGGAAAAACTCCAACTTACTCAAATGTTAAATGATGGGGAAGTTAGAATGGATATCGATCGTAAGAACGCGAAAAAAAGCTACTATTAGTTGGGCATCCGTACTTCAGCATGTATAATAGAAAACAGCGAATCCTTAAAAAATTATTCATCGTGCATGGTTGTTCAAGGAGATATAGAAGTTATCGGAGGTGGATCTTCTATGAAGGAGTTTGAATATCTTGCACACGTATGTCTTGACTCGAATATGCTCTCGTATGATTTTTTTATAATCTTTAGTCTCCCTTGGTAAAATTAACCACATATGCATCTTTCCGACGCTTAATGACCGCGTAGCGTTATCGCTCCGGGTCATAAACACGCGCTGCACAATGCAAAGCACTTAGAATGGAGATTTCAACCTTGCGCAAAAGCACATTTGAGATAGTGAGAGCATACTACGAAGCTTTCGCTAACTGCTTCAACTTTGTCAAAGCACATCAAATCATTTCTGACATGATGCCTATGAAAATTGGCTTCAACTCTATAAACTCCTTAGAGAAGTAAATATTCGTATATAGGAGGCCAGGCCTCAGAGCTAAGCCACTATTTGGGTGAAAGCTCATGTGATCCATTTGTGGCAGAGAGAATCCACTCCGAACCCTCGGCCACTACCGTGCTTAGATGCTGATTGGTCGGCTTGTAAGAGTACGGTGGTGGTGAAATCTCAGAAATGAACTCCTTGGCTATGATTGATTCAATTGAGTTGCGGCTTAGATAAATGTCATTTGAGGTCACACAATTAGTTTCGTTTGGGTAACAGTATAGTTGAGGCCTCCAAACTATCCATATGAAAAACCCAGCTACTCAGGTCTGTACTGTTGCTCTCAATGGCATCGTTCACTCAAATTCAGGGTATGAGATTTTGATGCTATATAATAGCAGGACCCCTAACTAAGCAATCGCCCAGTTTTCACAGCAAAACACAAATTCCAAAGCAAGAAAACCGCCCCGGAAAGTAGAAGCGGTCACGTTGCTCCGCCCATCAACCTGTTTGGTCTAGAGATAACAAACCCGAACTTGGGCTTTGATATATCCAAAATTAAAATTAGTCCTTCATTATGATAATTGTATTTGCGACCTTTTTGTCTGCCCTGCCAAATTTGGACTCGTATTTTCGGACCACCCAGACCGATGGACCAACATGGCAGCTTCTACTTGGAGCTGTTCCCTCGCTGAATTCATTTTTTGCAGCAAGACTCGGCTGGGTGTTTAACTAGGAGCTCCGCTATCATATAACATCAGAATCTCATCAGCCGCATTATTTGAGAGGGTGCCTTTAATTAGTTTACAAATACCTTGATATCTTCAATGCAACGTACAAGGGCATCGGGATCAGCTAAAAAAGAGAGCCAACAAAAATTTTTACTTCTTTCCTTTCGAATAGGTCAAAATTTAACGAAAGCAGTTAACGATGTTCGGCTGGAGCAGATTCGTATCTTCTATGCTTTCTATTTTACTTTCAGTCAATTATAATCCCGCTCTCTCCAAGCCTTCCCGCATGTGTTTACAACCATGCGATGAATCAAAGATTGCACAATCAGCAATCTTAGCGTGCGTATGGGAACAGAATCATGCTAGTGACAGTTTTATTGCTGATAACACTTTCTCCAGAAAATAATGATTATTGCGCAAGAAAATGCGGTCGTTTTACAATTATAGCGCGACATCCAGGCACCTTTATTCAAAAAAGCTCTACCACCCAATTTGTCCTTCACGAAAAAAAACTTAATGACTGTTAATCTTTTTTGAACCTCTTCACTTGTGACAGCCTAGTCACTATGAAATGGGTCTCAGGTCATGCATCCGAAATTTAGGGCAAAAATAACACGATAAGTTTGACTATTTGACATCTAACCGAATTTTGTTGAGAATGATGAACAACAGCTAAACTTGAATTATGTGATTTTGGTGATAAAGAGACATAAACATGAAACAGCAGGCGTACCCTTAGTGGATTTGCAATGAGACAGGAAAATAGAAATTTTATCGTCGTTAAGCGAAGCAGAGAAAAAATTGGTTGTCATAGTACCCTAAATGAAGGCCGGAAAGTGAAGTACAGCTATAGTTGCTTAATATGGCAGTTGATAACAACAAATATCAACTCGCTTGTCTGGCCTTTATCTAGGATTCAGTTATTTACAGGAAGATAGAAGATTTGATGAGATGAAAGCAAAAACATCCTCAAGATTTACTGACCTCTTGCCTAAACTCTAAATTTTGTTTCTTCCAGAATACAATTATTAGACTTTGCGTAGCAGCAAAAATTGAACAAATTCTTAGTGCCACTCATCGTTTTCGATTAGCAGTTGTAAATCAAATTTTATTATATACTGCGTAAATTCCACTGTTATGAAGGCACACTCCTCACTCCAGGCACGTTCCTCAAAGGTTATGATCACCACAATCCTCATAACCTTTGAGAAACGAAAACGGCTATTATGGAATTTATGGAACATATGTTGGCAAATTTATGATATTTCCTACAAGCGCGGCACAATCCCTTTCTCTCTGTTTATATTCAAACTTAACTGAGTCGATCGGCCTGAACAGCATAAACAAATTTCCACATGTTCTAAAGTACAAAAGCGAAAACAAGCTGACTCTTCATCGCGAAATTCTTGTGGAACTCTTCTTCTCAAATTGCATTATATGTATAGGTGGAATATCTACATGGCTGTTTGACAGTTACTAATACGGCAGTGCAAGATTTGTCTTTTCTGAGAAGTTTGAAAGAAGTACACTGTGACAAGGATAAGCGTATGTTTATTATTTATCTCTCTTCCTAGTACTCTACAATTTTATGATTAGATGATCGCTCATCAACCGTAGTCAATCAGAAAAATACAGAAAAAAAAACCTTTGCAAGATTCAATAGGATCTTTTTCAATAGGTATTTTATTGTCAGTTTGAGCCCATCCTGTGAGTTGCAGCGCCTATAGAAATAGTATCTAACATCCATTTGGCGCAGTTCGATTTGGGAGTCAGCTATGTTTCTTCAAAATTCAAAAAGCCAATATTGATCCAGGTGATTCATTGATTGACTGTCAACTCATGCTTAGCCTAAATATGATTCAATTTTCCAGTACAATCCCTTACTACGCCGAAAACAGCTAGAAGAATGGCAGTATGTGCTAAAACTGCGGGAACCATCGAACTTCCACAATTTCCCTAAATATCCTCGAGTCTTCAACATAGACATATTAGATATTGAGTATCAATATGGTATGTCTCTTGAGAATTGAGAAATTATGTAGAGTTGTCTTAATTTAGGTGAATTTTCTGTCCCAAAGGGTGAGTTATTCCAACGATATTCCAGCAGTCGATGAGCTAAATTTGGCCAAAGTTTGTTTTTAGGCAAAGAGCTTATAGAAGTGCTTACGTTGGTGGTTTGCACAGTTGTATTCTTTTCTGCTGTTTTGTTGATGTGGGTACCGTCATATGTGATATATTCAATGATTTCATAAAGGAAACTTTCAGCAATCGCTATGCGCCTTCCTTTTAAAATCAAGGATACTTCTTAATTATAGTAAATGCCTTATTACACTGCAAATTCCAACACCTTTACAATGGCAATAAAGTTTGAAATGCTTGTGTGAATGTGTCTTGAACCTGCAACTTTGATCTCATGAATTCAAATGCAATACAATTGTTTATTCGGTCTTCTCAAAGGTATTTGTGCTTTTCTTGACTAAGAGAAGAAGCGCTCTTGTGGACGAAGTCGTGAAGTGTTAGGATTCATTATTTTGCTAATAAATCGTGCATGTATAGCGCAAATTTGACAATACAGTCATGTTCGGCCTACTGCTGTGTCGGAATATGCAGCTAGGTTACATTATTATTCTTGAAATCTGAAAGTGAGCTGAAAGTGCAACCATGTGCCCAAAGATTCACAATTTTTATCTACGATTTTTTTGCAATAAGACTGCTCATAACTTCGTCCACAAAGGCGCCAAGCAGATACGGAATACAGCTTCGAAGTCAGCGTTGAATGCTGCATCGAATGGTAGGCAACTTGTGTGGATTGGCCACTTCGACTTGTGGCCATTCCTTTGTATAGATGCCTTGCCTAGTAAGTCCCATGTACGTCAGCATCAAGATCAATAGATGTTCTTAGCCGCGTTTAATGCGCTCTTGCTCCTCTTTCTGGCTGTTATTTTTTCAAGTTGCAATCTTCAAAGCTTCTCGGTATTTTCCAGTGTTCAAATGACTACCGCTACCAAGTCTAATCATCTATTTTCAAGGAATTTTCGCACAGGAATTTTTCATGAATATAAATATACAGGTGGCTTTTAGGGTTTGCGCAACTTGGTGGGTAGGCTTAACTGACTGGATTCGCCAACTTATGAGCTTCTTGACTACAGGTCTCGTATATGCTTCTTACCGTTGTGTTCGTCAGTAATCACGTCCACCGTTTCCGCCGTACTCGAACGCTTTGAAGTGGATTCTCGGATTTAGCGTACTGGAGTTTGAGGAAAGGTAAAAGCTAGAAAAGTTTTGCATTGATCCTGCTTTTGCAAATGAATCTTACAAGTTCGTCGCAATAAAAACGTCCAAAAAAGTACTATCGGGTAGAGCGGTTTTATGTGAGGGAACATGTTCTTTTGCTTTTTTTGAGAGAAAAGGGCATGTCTGTGGTTCTGAAAAATGTGAACTGCAAGCATTAAATCTTTTCTCAAATATTGCTCCTTAGATGTGTATTAGTTTCACAAGTAGCTCGGTCAACGAAATATTTTATTGGCAGGATTTCTTGAAGGCAGGTTACGAGATGAAAGGCAATGATGCAAGATAACAAGCCAAGTATAATCGGCTTCATTTCTGGCAGCTTCACAAAACTCAGCATCTCCAAGCCCACACCAGATCGGCAAAGTACGCGTATGTTGAGACACGGATGGTTGAGTGGAACACACGCAAAGCCGATCCATTCCCTCTTACAAGTCAGACGTCAGCATAAGCTACCAAATAATAAAGTCGATTATACGTGTAAAATATATGCATTTTGATCAAATCTAGCCCAAAGTAACATCAACAAAACTCTTTTCAGCTGTCAAACTAAATTCCTCGTACTTCGAATTGCGACACTTCTGTGCCTAGGTTGTTGTACAGACGCGTCACAAAAGTGCCATTTGTGCCCCAGGTTGTGTCGTCCTCGAAAGTAAGGTAATGGTTGCATTCACGTCTGTCAGGGGTGTACCCACGGGCTGATATCTGTAACAGAAGCGTATTTCCAGGTTTAGACTTTTTGAGAGTTGTTTTATCCACCTACCTGAACAGTTTGACCAGGGCCAAGCGTGAACAGGCTTGGGAACGTGAAGGTTCGCTCCTGACCAGCTACGCTTCTGCGGATTCGGTACCCGCTCAAGCGTTGCTAAATGTACGACTTGCAAGTCTTGCCAAAAATGCCTCTAAATATACCTCGCTGTAGCCAGCATTCTCAACGACCACAAATTTGCCGTCTTCGTCACAGTCCTTTATGCGGACATCGCCCTAAAAATTATTCTCATGGTTTTGTTCATTGTTTTCACCAAAGAACATACGGTATAAGTTCTATGTTTTATGGTCTGCGTGTATGACTGTTGTACTGTGGAGATGTTTGATCCCCTGGGCGCCATCCCAGGGTTTGACCCCCTGGGCGCCACCCCGGAGTTTGACCCCCTGGGCGCCACCCCGGATCCCACTCCGGACCCCAATCCGGATCCCGATCCCGGCCCCCATCTAAACTCTGTTTTTAATCTTTTTCTTAACAATGATCCTCGAACCTTTTTTCCTCGCACTCGATCATCTTCCTGTAAATTTCTAGCTCCAATAAAGCCACTTCGCTCAATGATCCTTGTTCTGCGAGCTGAAGAAAGAGCTTTTACACAGCGAAGGAGAGTGAACTACGAAACGGATTAGAGGAGATCAAGAGAACATTATTTTCACATCAGTGCATTACCGTTGAAAGATAGAAATTTTTGAGAATGACGTACCAGGCGCTGGTAATTGGCTAGCGCATTCTTGTACTCTTCCTGACGGCGTTTCTTTTCGGCATCGAAGCGGTCCTCGTCGTTCTTCATCTGCAATGAGGAGCATCGTGATCGAGAATGATTTTAAGAATGAGAGACGAGGTTTTACCGCATTTTGTAGCTGTCTGTACTCATCCTCGAGCATTCGGTTCCTGTCTTCCAAAGGACGGAACTTCATTCTGAGATCACCAATCATATTCTCCATCTTGTTTATCTGATCCTGGCGGAATCTGGCTTCTTCAGAGCTCTTTGCCTCAGCCAATCTGCGTAGTTCATCCACCTGCCAAATCTTGCTTTCTACTGTTAACCGATTCATTTGATAAAACAACCTTTTGTTGATACTGAGTTGTAACGCCTTCGCGTACAATTCTGTGCGTTTGATCATACTCGAGTTTGATATCTCTAGAAAAAGCTTGCGCATGTATTCATGAAAGGCCGACATTTAAACAGTTCCAACTCACTTGATTGCAAGTGCTATATCGTTTTTGAAGAATTCTCTAGCGTCGAACGAGGTCTCTTCGAGCAGGCCATTTACCTCCAATACTTCGCGTTCCTGCACTCTAAAAAATCGTGAGGTTATATAAAGTAACCGCAGCTCAAAAATGCGAAAGATGTCTACTTGAGCAGGAACTCTTTTTCAGCAAGAAGGCGTTCTTCTTTTGCTTGATATTCGGCCAATTCAAGGCGAATACGATCAATTTCCTAGAATTAAGTAATCTCGGTTTTGTACTTACAAAATGCAACTAAGAGGCTTACATCCGATATTTTTTCGTAGTCTCCATAGAGTTTGGCATTCTGATCTGCCAGCTGAGAGCGCTCATCAGATAAGCGATTGTTTCTCAAAAGGATTCCATAGCGTTTTTTTGCTTTTTATATGCGTGACTTACTCTCGTTGCTGCGCATCCAGATCCGCTTCAGCTCTAGAAATTTCTGAGCGAAGCTCACTGCATCTTGCACGATCCGCTTGTTCTGCTTCTCTTATATCTTCGATCCTACAAGCACGAGGAGTGAATGTGTGGGAGACAAGTAAATAAGTCATACTATCAAATGACCAGCACTCTAAATAAGAACTTATTCATAAAAAGCTTATGTGATTACCTCATGTGATTGGAAAGGATTGTTTGGGTATAGGGTTGGAACATAAGTCGAAACAGATTAAAATCGCTATTATTCATGTTTTTTAAAAATTCTAGATTTACTGGAGTGCCATTTAGCAACTAAGTTCTATAAGAGAATCAAAGTTTTGCGCCAATTTTAAGCTACGCAAAGTATGAATGAAAATACTATAAGATCAGCCCGAAACATTGAGAAAAAAGTCTAAAATGTTTAAAAAAATTCTGCGGATTCTAGCTTGGTCAGAAATTTATATATGCAATTACCTTATTACTTGTACGATTGATGGGAGAACCAAAACTTCCATTTTATATAAAGGCATTGCTGAGTTATCTCCTTACAAATGTTAATTTTGTAACTTTTTATCAAGTGTTAGTTCATCGAGAAAAACAAAATTTGTGTCAAACTTGATGGTCATAGTCAAGGATATTTCTTGAGGACTAGCTCTGTAGGGCTAAAAATTTACAGTTATACTTCGGAAGCTTGTCAATTACCCATGTGGTACAGCATTACTTTGACAATAACATATAAAATTTTTGTTTTCTTAACTTTTGCAAAAAATACAGCAAGTGTATGTAAGAGGATCTATAGGGAGCTGCATGATCTATTTTCGAATCTGATATAAGAGAACTAGGAATCAAAATGTTGGAAAGTTTGGTAGGATCCAAAACCATACAATTTTGAGACTCTTTTTCCAATACAACAAGTTTGCGCTAATGCATTGATTTTTATTCTGTCGACTATAGTTGAGGTTGCACGGCAGTAATCCAGTATGCAAGATTGCAACAATCGCAATACTTTCAATGCTCTATTTTCAAGCATCAACCCAGGTATCCACGTTTCTGCAGTTTCATGCTCATATATAGTTTCATACAGCTCATACTCAGCTTTCCAACGCCACATTGTTTGCTACTTGCTGCTCAAACACAGAGGAAGCGGGGCAGAAGGTAGTATAATGAAAACCTGGGTACGCGCGGTTTAGTCGTATCGCCTAGGCACTACCTCGTAAGCGTACCGCTCGAAAGTGGTTCATTCAGTTATGTAACGCCATGCTGTATAGTAACCCATACCTCTGTTATTTTAAGCAAAGTTTGCAACGTGGCTTCCCAATCAAGCTATTATATCAATCCATTCTAACCCATGATAATGCGCTTGTTATTTTATACATTCTTAACAGCTCTGCTTCACCTATAAATGGGCCCAGAAGTGGATGTTTGTTTACCTTGGGTGTGCTATGATATATCTATATATCATATGTGCAATAAATAAGTAAATATATAGCATCGATCAATTTTGCTTTCATACCCAAAACTATCAACTTTGGGGTTGTTGGAAAACAAATACATTTGAAAAAAAGGAAGATTACTTAGATTTGAAGGATGAGTGAAGTACAGGAGCTGCGCTATTACATTCAGCTTCCGGTCGAAATCGACTTAGCGTTAGTAGAGTTCAATAAGTCCTCCCTTTTAAAGCACCGTCCATTCAAATTCACGACTTTCATGTGTCTTCTCGGGGCCTTCTCACGGGACCCGCAAGCCGATTCTTTGGAACAGTGGTTGGATGGGCGCGTACTACTGGAGGGGGCGGTGCGACTTGGACCCTCATGCCTCTTCGCTATTTCAAAGCGAATTTCCCGCTTTTAAAGCGACATTTCCGAAGTCTGGGAACAATTCCAGCACAGCGCTCAATTTGAACACTGTGCTGGAACTGTTCCCGAACTTCGGGATCAGCATGAACGCAGCCTTATGGAAGTCCTACTATCCCAGACTGTCAAAAGCTCAAGGTCCCTAATTTAGGGTGGAAGGTGTCTTTAACACATTTATGACAGGGCCATCGATGACTGCCATTTCGGACCAGAGCATATTTCGCATTATTGAGTTTGCATATTATTTTTTGTTCGCCGATGCGTCATATGGCCTAAAGTGTCAATCTTTTGGGAAGCATTCCAGGTAATGTGAGGAGTGACTCAATCTGCCCAAAACGTTCCATCGTGAACTAGCGAAGTCAAAAACTTCAGAAAGCATAAGATCCACCGGTGAGTCATATTGTCCGAAATGGCAGGGCATGTACGACCCACCGGTGGGTCGTGATTTGCAAATGTGCTAATAAAACCCAATCATTGAGTGCTCGAAGCGGCTTCCAAATGCCATCTCGAACCGATCTGACCCATTTGTGCTCCCCTCACACCTGCGCGGATCGAGCAAGACGACCCCCCCCCTCCGCATTATCGACAAAGACGAGCAAGAGGTATGGGACACACCCGCAGAAGAGGACTCTCCCTAAGTTCTGTCTTAATACCCCCCCCCCCCCTCCCTCCCCGCTCCGCATTAACATTTGCCTACTGTAGGCATGGCATAACGATTAGTATCATATTCGTAATTATCGTGTCAAATAACCCCTGTTAACGAAGTATCAAAGAATTCTGAGGGTTCACAATACTGGGCCACCCAAATGAAGTGGCCATCTTCAAAATGGTCAACTATATTTCACAAGTAAATATGTAGTTCTTTTTTACTCAATACAAAGCCTTACTCCCTGTTTGCCCATAACGTGAATCCTGCTTTACATGACATTAGACTATGAAATTAAGGGCAGCCAAGTGAATTAACCACCTCTTTTTTACTCAGTAGAAAGCACTGCACCTTATTTGCCAATACCGTGAATCGTCCTTCAAATAACATCACACTATGGAATTAGGGGCAGCCAAAATCTCCTTTATCTCATTGGCTTACAGTGAATGTGCTCCTTGCAATTATTGCACAATGAAAGACTGCAAGTCCAGCTCTAATTATTCCTACAACTACGAGGTTTTAACTATCGAACTGTATCACATTTGTTCGCTAGAATTCCTTTGAAGGTAAATGGGGTGTAGCATGTTATGTTATCATGTTATCGCTGACATCAGTTTCACCTCGATAACGCCATAACGACCCCCCTCCTTCCTGATCCCTCAATGCGACCCCAAGTGTGGCATGTCCAAACGCGAGCTGCCCGTAACCGACATTGAGCCCGTTGGGAGACCGCCGGCGCATCCTGTAGGTGCCCTTAAGCGCTTATTCTTAATCCGATTGACAGGCTTGTAAGACCTAGGAAGTGTCGGAACGCTTTAGCTTGTCTTCCATAATGACGTCCCTCCCGTTTTAGTGACCTGCTTGCGTATTTGCCGACATCATTCAACTTCAATGACACTCGTCCGACTGTTGAAGTTTTTTAGAAGCATAGGAACTCAACTTTCTTAGACAGGATCGAATCCGAGAAGCGATAGCAGTTTCATAAACATTTAGAATAGCCCTACCGTTACGGCGTACCTCACGCGCGTCACGCCCGCGCCTACATCGTCTAAGAAAAGCATCCTTTGATAAGGCCCGCGGCTCGCCGTGTGGTTTAGTTGGGCCGCGACGCCCCAGTAATTCTTTCTCACGTTCGACTTCGACCGCGGCTCACAAGGCAAATATTTTAAGAGCCGCGGCGCTTGTAAGGCGCTTTGAAGGGGAAACGGCCCTTTTAAAATGTTTGCTATCATGGCGCGCCTCTGATTGGTCAACATGTCCGCTGCCATAACGAGTTAGTACTCGTTCATTTTTGCGCATCTTTCGTGCCTAACATGATTATAGGTTTTGGCACAGCCATATTACATGCTTCAACTAAGAATTTCCCCCGTTGACTGTAAATGCGACTTGTTAGCTCTGTCAGCGGCGCCGCACGCGGCGAAGCGGGCATCGCGCGCGAAGGGTTCAAAAGGGCCTACACCCGCTTTGAAGCTGCACAATTTCCACTGCAGTTGTCTGAGAGGGGGGGGATGAAGTGGCGGCAAACACATGACCGCATGTCATAGGTAAGGGAGCTTACTCCGGTACTGCTTGATGTCACCCTCGCTTCGCAAAAGGTCCACATTATGACTCCTGATCCGTATACCAGACCTTGTATGCGCCAAACTACTTGTCGGGTTAACCGAACCGAATTTAGAACGAGGATTTCGCGGTTCCCGCAATCTGCACTCTAGGTTTGGAATCAAGGCCACGAATAAGGGAATAAAAAACGAGACTCAAAATCTGCCCGGTGTTTAAGTTTTTTTGTTGACGCGTCGGAAGTTAAGATTCCTAGTTGAAAAGATGCTCAACAGATTACAGTACTTAAGACTCCTTCAACAGGCTTTGGCAAGTAAGTTTTTTCTTCAGTGGCGCTTGAATAAATTCGTGTAATGTCAACGCAATTTTCATAATCATGACAATTGACAGACAACTTTCTGTAAACGCTGTAATCTTAGTCATCCTCGAACATGATTGATTTTCTTCGTTGTTGTCATGTTTCAATAGTTGATGCTAGTCTCAAATCTTGAGAAATGTCAATTTATTCTTGTTCTTTTGTGCGACGTAATCAATAAAATGTATCACATATGAAAAACATTAACTTATACGTAGGATTAATGTAGTACTACTCTGGTTTTTCAACCCTAATCCTTATTTTAGAGAAACTCCTGCTACAACCGTCAAGATCCAAACCATCTTTCTTTTTTGTGTAAAGGCGTTGCAGATGTGAGTTTTTAAACGAGAAAATTTATGCACTTTTTATCTCGTTATAAAATTGTTATAGCATTCTTTTCTAATCGTTAGAAGACATTATGATCTCGTTATTAATGTACTTTGCCGATGCGCGAAAAACGGTTGCTGAATATGAAAAGAAAATCAATTGTAAAACAAACATTCAATGCCCACCAGCCGTATTTCGTACATGAGGACACACTCATAAAATCCAAGGTCGTAATGTCTTTACTACCAATAAAAATAATACTATGACATTGCTGAGATGGAAAAAAAGGATTGGCTAGATAACAATCAAGATTTAACGCACTACCACGCAAGGGACTTGTTTCAATTTGAAATACTCACGTAAAGTCGTGCATCAAACAATCGATTGGGTTATCATGGCACACATGCGTACTGATGTTAAAAAATTAGGCACTCACCTGCGGTTGAGTAGACCAATGTCAGCACTGATTCTCTTTGCGCGGATTGCTTTCTCAGCGGAACCCTTTATCGCTGCCACAGAGTCATCTCTGTCTGATAGTATCTTTTGGAGAGAAATCTGAAGGTAACATTATAGAACCTTAAAGAAGGTGGAAGTGGAAGGGAGGGGGGGGGGGGTTAAGGGTAAAAGTGAAGGGTTATGGAGAGTTGAAATGTAAAGTGCGCTACTGGATTATGCTCTAAGAGCCGTGAACTGGGACTTAGATTGTTTGCTCTTCATCAGTTCTCTTTGATTCTAGCAGCAAAGGCACTTTTTAGAGAGCGCAATCGAAAACTCGCCCTCGATAAAGTTGCATCCAATAGAAAGGGGTCAGCGTTTATAAGGGGAAGCATTATGTGTAAGTCAAAAACAGGAGTAAAGTATGCAAGTTGGGCTATAATACGATGTTGCCAAACAATAGTCAACAAAATTGCAGCCAATGTTCCTCAAAAAATGTGCAATCCAAATGTTTGCTATAGTTACAAATCGTTTTTTAGTTCTCACTCAATAATCTACTTTCTTATTGTGACAAATGAATAGCAGAAGCTGTAAAAGTACACAATCTTTCATGCAAAGTTATCACGCTTTCGATCTTTTGTGTATTGTAAAAGCCTATTGTGACTTCCTGCTTAACAGAACATGTCTTCACTAATACTATTATATGTCATGCTATATTTAATTTTCTGCCGCTTAGAAAAGTTCTTCATGAGTTTCGGACATTTCACTTAACCTTCGAATACGCCTTCCTCTTTACAACGTATCCCTAAAAACAGTGTCCAGGCAAATCCAGGCACATGGCGTAGGAAGTGAGTCCAGACGAGTTGGAATCAGGGTAAATTTTGCTACATGAGAGATCAAGCACGATGGATTGGCTCCAGAACGGGTAGAACCAGGGAGGGCTAGCTTGTTTCTATATATTCCTTAATGGTTGCGGTTTTTTGATGCTGGATTTAAGCTATCCTTGCTAGTACTCTGCGTTGATACCACTGCTTACTCACTTCCTACGCCATGTGCCTGGATTTGCCTGGACACTGTTTTTAGGGATACGTTGTAAAGAGGAAGGCGTATTCGAAGGTTAAGTGAAATGTCCGAAACTCATGAAGAACTTTTCTAAGCGGCAGAAGTTTCAAATACTTAAGTGGTTGCGGCACGATCAGGGCATAGTTTTTGTACAAGTTTCGAATAAAGTATGTTTTGTTTTAAGAATGGCCCACAGCCTCCGTTACTTTGGAAAACAAAGAGGCAGAGTGGAAACTTACGTAAAGATAGAGCTACAGGGGCGAATGTTATAGGCATGCCAGAAGATGCTTACTACTTTTCATGTTCAGAAATAGATAACCGAGTCTTATAAACCAAATCTACTGGAACAAGAGCAGGTCTCTAGACTTTAAATGATGGTGATCATGTAGAAGTCTTGAACGTGGGATGGTGGAATGGAACACATCTTTTGATTTGACTTTGCTTCATGGATGAAAGCACTAATTGAAGAAGAAACTGCGAGGTTACAAGGGCTCAAAGACACCGTCCGCTTAGATTTTCGACTTCAATGTTTTCATCGTTCAAGAGCCTTCTCATGCCCCTGTTCTGTATATGAACTTCAGAATCCGCAAAACCCCCAACAATCCCCGTTCCGAACAATTCGCGGGGCAGATTTATAGAGCGACGATTAACGGCGAACGATATTTGACAAGGCTAGTCATGTCTGTATTAAAGCGATCGATACCGCAGAAACGAGTGCAAACTGTAACAAAAAATTATATAGAGCGACACTCAAGCTCAAGACAGGAGATACTACCACTTGCGCAGAGCCCCACCTCGATTGCAAACTACTGCTGCATAAGTTCTGTCCGGTTTCCATTTTCAAATGCAGATATCATACTTTCCAAGACCATTTCTCAATAATTTTAGCTTCTTTTTATTAAGATTCCTTGGATATCAAGGGAATACCAGAGTTACAAAAAACTAGCGAAGAAAAAGCAAGAACTCAAAAACTTTACAATGTTTTTCTCCGAGCTTGTTGTCCTGACATGGCAAAGCTCCCTCAGGAGGGTTGACAGGCAAAAGTGGCCATTTTTGAATAGAGAAAATCCTAAAGATATCCTATAACTAGAAAAAAAACCTATAGGATCTTTAGCGTTGTGAAAATTTTGACCAAATAAAAGAGAAGGACACATAAAAATTGAATCATGAGAATTCTACAAATGCCACGAATGGTCGAAAGTAGTTGCCTAAACTTGCTTTAACCTATCGCCATGTTTACTCATTGATTATCTTTATACAAAGACAGTTTCTGCTTGCAGAACAATTGCAAGAAGCATTGTTCGACGAAAAATTTTGCATGCAAGACGACTTTTAAAGGAAAGTGTAATCGCACATGTGCTAGCCCGTTACACTTTTGAACCGCGGTCAGAGAAGAGCTTGACTTGTAAACGGCATTGTGGAAATTCTCTTACAAGAACACATTTCTTAGGTGAGGCCTTATTTTGAGAGCGTAACGACCGTCTGCAGTCTTAGGCCTGTAATCTTTAAGAGTGAGATTTTTACTCGAGATTTGATATGTTCCATAAAAAGCAGGAAAAACGCTTTTAATGACGCAGATTCTATTGCATTAGAGGACGGGCATACAACAAGCAATTTCATCGCCTCGCGATACCTTCGACTAGACAAGTGCTGCGAGTACACTGCATGCAGATCATTTTGCATTTCGGTTGTGATATTTTTCCGACTCGACTATACGCGTCTAGCTATCACAACCGAAATGCAAGATGATTAGCATGCAATGAATACGTGACAATTGTTTTGTTGGGAAAATCGCGAGGCGATGAAAGCGCGTGATGTAAGCACGGCTCTTTAGAGACGAAGATCTCTTAAAACGGCTGCTTCGCACACAGGGGCAGCAAAAATCGGACAGAATTTACGTATGCATTTTATACATCCCCGATGTGACGCATTCCAGTTCTCTGGTCTTGTTTGAGCGTAATCATCGTTTTCTTTTATCCGCTCAGAACCACCAATAAATATCCCCGCTGGAAAGGAAAGCACGGAAAAAAAGCAAAATACTCTGAAGCTCCAAAGGTCTTATTTTTACATTGGTGCATCTTTATAAGCATTATTATCCACCTTTATTCGCACCAAACCACAGCGTATTGCCGTATATTCCACATTTCCCAGTTCCTACAAGATCAACCAGTGATTCCTAGCTGCTGACCAACTTTTTCGAGATCACATATCTCTTTACATAATGAAGGAATCAAAAAATATGCTGATTATCTAATGCAGTTCTAGGGCTTCCGATATGTATGGAATTGAAATATTGCTATTGTCGATAATTCGAGTTTCAACCGAGCGTTCGTCGAATTCATTCAATACTTCGACTTTTTATTTCTCTTTATCGAAAATATGCAATGGATAGTTTTGATCGAGTTATGTGTCAAAAAATCTGATTCGCGAAGAACTGGCACACAAAATTCATTACCACATTACCATTAGACGCACACATTAAAGCTGCTAGATTCTTTGCCAAGCTCAGTCAGACACTCTCATTTTGTAAACATGAGACATATCAGTATACTTAACCAGTTTCTGTGTTTTGTGAACTGTGTAAGTTTCTTATAGCTACTTTTGCTATATATGATAGGCACATGCTTACATATTGTCCTCAACAGTATCGATGCATATAGAGTATAACAGCTTAAGTCGTAATTCTCTGTGTGCACCCTTGAAGCGCTCTTTTATAGCTCTTAACAACCAATACAATCGAAGCAACTATGTCACCCTATAATTCCTTCAGGAATGCTACATGTCAGGAGCAGGGTATTGGTATCTGAGGCACAAAGCATTTTGCGGGACGACTACACTTGGTTTTTTTTTGCGCGCCGTAATCGTTTGACATGTGTCTGGCCAGAACAAACTATTTGAGTATACCACTCGAACGGAGTGTGGTCTAAAGCTTCTGGAAGACTTAGGAAGGAATGAGAAGGAGCTGGTGGGGTGAGTGAACATAAAAAAGTGGGGAAGTGCAGCAGAACTTTGATTGTAGAAAAGTTGTCACGCAAGTAAGTAATTTTCACAAGAGACATCATAACATACGAAATTCCTACTTAAACACTTTAAAACTATGATACTTGCATATTACATTACTACACTTTGAAGCGAAAAGTTGTTTCATATGGTTTGGTGGAGATCGAGAAAAAGTTTGAAGAAAAAAGCACGCCTACTTCTTCGTCATGGTCGAACTTGTCTTGCCGAAGAGTCATTGGTACAAAAACCCTGACGACTCAAATGTTCTTTAGCTAGAGCTTTACGCAAAACACTTGTGGAATGTACTATTATCTAATCTGCTTAACCATGAACAAAGCAAAAAAAAAGAAGCGAGCGCGGACCTGAGAAAAACAAAAGCGACGAAGACCCATTGACATGTGCACTATTCTTTTTTGTCACCCAACAAAAAGCAATGTAATGTTTTCTCATGGATTACCAGTCATTGTCAAATATAAACTTGAGGACATGCGGTAAGTGCAAAGTGCCTCGCTTATTACAGAAGAAGTCATTCAGAAAGGGGTGGTAAAAAAAAGCGTAAGACGTTTTGATTCTTCAATAAAGCCTTTTATCTAAGAAAAACGCAAATTCAAAAAAATTAACACTAATGCAGCGCTTTTTTCCTGTGAAGTGCCATTTTTCTTGATGCACCAACACAAGTGGATTTGTTTAATGTTAACTTCAGCGACAAAAATAACTGATCAGCGCTCCTTGCTGATTGTGGCAATTATGTAAGAAACACGGTTCTAATTTAGATATTGATCAGAATACGCTATTCACCGCTTCAGTTCTCTAATGATAAATATACCACGCAGCTATCTTTGGACAAATCTGTCTCGTTCTTCTTACTTTACGTGTACTTTATTCGAGCGTGATTATCCGCGCTTCAAGTAATCAGCGCGGTAAAAGTTTGAGACATGCCATTTGTTTATAATCAAAGTGAAGCTTTTATAATCTTTACAATTTTTCTATCAAAGTTGGGGAAATTGGTAACATATGAGGCTAATTCTTCCAGAAATCCTCCTTTTTCCGCTCAAATCCATTTTGCCCAACAGATAGTTCTTGTTTTGGCCATGACTGAGGATTGTTTGCTGATTGCAAACGCGGAGACTGAGCCTCAAAAGCAAGTCGCTATTTATATTACAATGTGGTCAGCATTTTCTAAGTAGCAATTAGCCGATACATGCCAATTAGCAACGTTTTTTGCCATTGTTTGCTCAAACCAGGTTTTATTGAAGGTCATATTCTCATTTCTAGGACAGAGCCAGTCTAATATAAAAGGCCATCTATTTAGTACAGGTTTTCAAAAATTTTCTTCTGTAATAAGTCCCTTTGCAAGAAAGGCAGACTCAGGAAACGTTTGGATGAATAGCGTGCGATATGCTCGCCGCAACGGTGGTTTTTCGTTTTTCCATCACCTATCAATAGCTTGATAACGCTATTGAAACGCTAGCTCTTGGCATGGCTCAATGCAACAATCAGGCGACTCTCTTACCAAACTAGAGTACCCAGTGCGCACTACTCTAGACTCAGCTAATATTAGCATGAAGGAAAGCACTAATATAATAAACTCCAAAACACTCGAAAACAAGAGGAATCATAGGGTAATACTTGCGATATTATTAGCTTTTGATTTGTGTGAATACAACTGCTCTCTACGGAATCACCGTCTCCGTACTATCACTATGCTATGCATCTACGTGACAATCACCGCAGAGCGCACCGAAACAGTCATTTGCTAACAAAAACTCTGTACGCTATCAGGAAGCTGTTCCCTCTCGGAAAAGCAGAAAAGTCAATTATTTTGAGTATCTTGTTCGAATTTTATTAAAAGAGTGCATTTTGTAGAGCTTCTGCAAAAGGTGCGCACGTATTTTTACAAAAGAAGACAATCTATATTTTTGACATCTCAGATGGACTGCGTTGCTAAAACAATTTTGTGACCGTTGAACTGAACTACAAAATGATGATAGAGTATTATCGCAATGGTATATCTACCATGCTTTTTATTTTTGATCGGCAGACCACTTACGCAGGATATGTACATCTTGAATAAAGGTGTACACAGTTCAAATCAGAAATCTTCCCATTTTTCCAATTTGAAGGACAGCAGGGCCATTCAGTACAAACTTACTCAGTAAACACACATAATCTCACCCTGTATGTGCCATTCTGTTGTCCCCATGATTCATGAAGTTGACGAAGTTCGTTAACTAATTGAGCATTGTCACGCTCGAGACCTTTCACCAGAGAGATGTACCGCTCTAGACGGCTGTTCAAATCCTAAAATTGCAGCTACTTTAAATTGAAATATAATTCTGGAAAGCAACGTTTCATTAGGTGGTCTTGCATTGATTATTCATTTCTCGGCCAGCAAACTCGTATTTGTGGTTTTCATAACACATGAAAATACGCAAAGTACACAGTTTCTGCATTGCAAGCAAAGTGCTGCTTTTTCTCTACGATGATAAGATCAAATTCCTGAGTAGTTTTTTGCATAAGTAAAAACTTTTGGATGACAGCAGAATTCGATGCGTTCTTTTTTTTGGTCTGGAAGAGAATGCTACAATTGTAGCAAGTAGAGATTTGAATTGAGGCGCCGAAAGGTTCCAAGCCATTTAGAACACTCATGCTTTAAGCTCTCTTTATGTAAATTCCAAAATGCAAAAAAACACTATAGATTTCTGATGCAAGTCGTTCTTACCCTTATTTCTTGGTTCACCTCTCTCATACCTCCCCTTTCTAAGTTTTTCACGAAAAGAGTTATACTTTGTCATGAAATAAAAATATGAACGACGAGATTAATTATTCTGCATAGACGTAACTTTGCACAATTATGAACCAACCTGGAAATCGGATCTCTCCTCTGCAGTGAAAGCGTAGGTTTCTATGTAACTCCTGCGGCTTCGCCCGGAACCAAAATCGGCTAAAAGCAAACACAATAAATGAAACGAATTATATTGTCTCATGGAAAAACATAATATCGTTTATCCTAATTTACTCTTTAACTGATATAAATTCAGGTTTATGTTTACTAAGTCGAGCCAGTTATATCAGGTAAATTGTGATTATATACGCATGTAAGAACAACAAAGACAAAGTGCGAAAATCGCTTACAATTCATTACAGGCGTCGGCTTCCACACTAAAACGCGTTATCAGTTAGTGCGTCGCTTTATCTAGGAATTCCGCATGCATGCTTGGGGAGGAATTAGTAGAAAATACCAAGTTTAGATAAGCTCCCAAAACCAAGCATAGTTACGAAGGTGCTTTGGATGACTGTGTCGAAGGGAGGCAGCAAACTAGGGTACCCTAGCAAATGCTCACATCAAAAAGGATGTTAGAAGGAGGGGCGGGAATCAGAAAAGGAGGAATGGTATTCAAAATCTCAACAAATTGGTTGCGTTGGCCAGGTTTAGTATTCAGAAACTAGGCCCGGTTCTAGGTGACTCATCTCTTTATTTACACAATTATGAAATCTTGTAACATATGATTCTTCAGTTTACAAGCCATCTGAATTTTCGTTTTCATATTGCCGATTAAAGTTGATGTGCGCATCGAGTGTCGATAGTTTTAATATTAGACATCGATTCGATGCATGTTATCGGTGGCTCACATTTCCTCGCCGGAACCATTTGTCGTCGAATTGTCGTCGAAACAAATGACTGAAGTTTTTTCCCCACCTTCGAAAAGGTTCGTTGTACACTAGTCGTGACAGTGAAGTATCACTCACATGTGGGTTGCTATCAAAACTCATGTGCAAAAACCAAACGGGTGTCAACGAGAAGCAAGAGATTAGCTATCGAATCGAATGCAGAAATCATTCAAGCAGAAAAACAAAAATGCGAAGTATATCCTGACAGTTCAGTTTTTACTTCGGTTTTTGTATCCGCTAGATTGGCAAAAAATTGTTGCCGTAGTTATTAGCGGTTTGTAGTAATGACACAAATATTAGGTTGTCCTACAAGCTTTTTCATACATTTTCACCGAAAAAAGTCAATTCTTATATTAATAGGATGTGGAATACCATTCTACAGATCAAAGCAAGCTCTACAAGATGTCTTCTAAAACTGTTCGCTAAACTTGACCCGCATTGAGTTCGAAGCCAGAAAGTTAACTCCCGAAAAAACAAAGTAACCGTATCTTAGTTCCATATAATTCTGCAAACTTCTCACTGTAGTATAGTGCATATACTGCCCTACAGATATACATACACTCGCTGCGTTTTTCTGAAGGTCCGAAATCGGGAAAAAAATAATGCGCCAAATTTCCAAACTTTGCCTGCAGCGGTTCTGTATTTTTTGCAAATATATGATTATATACCTTCTTCACTCAGAAATACTACCACAAATGTGCAAGGTGCCTTAGTTCCAATAAGTTCCAGTAAGGTCCGAAAATGGAAAGACTTTGGGACAATCTTATGAATTTATGTATATTAGGTTGGCACATAAGTAATGCAACTTTTTATATAACTTTTGTCTATTTGAACGTAGCGCATTCATTTTTTGGCAATATAAGGAATATGACGTAAGCTTCTAATGCACACATTTTTGCCGAATTTTACCATCTTATGTGAGGATTACGGTAGGTTTACGATACTATGGGAAAAATTTTAGAATGCATCAGATTTTGCTGAAACTTAGCCTATAGGGCTTATTTGACATGCTGATCACAAAAATGAGATCCGCTTTGCATAAAAAGGCCTCGTTCGTGAGCTCAAAAAATGAATTCCATTTTAGCGACAAATGAATATGATATTCGTGTTTACCGCATAGGATTACCCTATAGTGCAAAGTTATGGCGAATTCTGACTTTTCGCAGCTTAGTTATTGACAAATTGCCTTCAAAGCTTGACGCATTTGACTTGTTCAATTTCTCAAAGGCGCCCCACCTCAGTTTGTGTTTAGATTTCATTCCTTTTTCACTGATTCCAATGTGCCAACTTCCAGCTACATGCTGCCTATAATTGCTTTTTCATATGTTTGTATCAGGTTTCGTTGGGCTTCATGTTTGCCAAAAAATCGTGAAACCTCAATTTTCAGCAGTTTTAAAAAAATGCTTAGATTTCTTGTACTACGTTATCAAAAATCAAACGGTTTGCGCAGACTTGCAGCCTACATTACGATCTACATAATGCCACAAAATGGACTGCTACATAAAATAGGAAAAAAGTTACGGGAAAAGTTGCAAAACTTATGTGCCAACCTAATAAATGTACCGCTGGTACCACTAGAAAGAGTAAATCAAGAGAATCTGATGTTTGACTCAGATTGCTCAAGAGATGTTTTTTAATGTGGAATGGTGCAAAAAATCGAAAAAAAACATACTTTCTCAAATTTTCGAAAAGACATGCTCTAAAAAACAAGCTGAATTTGAGTGTACTATAGTACGCGAATGGTACGCACGCTAACGAATTCGATAATTCCTTTCATTTGCACGGTCATAAATAAACGAACTCAAGCTATCTGGGCTACCCAAACAAACGCCTAGAAACTTTTACATTTATGGTTATAAAAGTTTCCAAACAGCAGGTCACAGGCTTGTTTGTGGATCACCATATAGCCAAAGCTTATGTTTCTCTAACAACTAAATCACTTATCTGTGCACTACACTACAGCTTCAATACGAAACTTTGAAATTCGGTGATTCTTCAAAGCTTGATCATATAAGGTCAAATGTATTTTGTCACGATGAAAGCCTATAATGAGTATGTGATAGGAGAAGTTTAAAGCTATTATTTACATATCGTAGCTAGATAACAGCTGCCTGAGTTGTCACAGAGCTTCGAAATTGGATGTCAAAACAAAATTATTTAGCCAACCTAATAGAACGGAAAGGAAAGGTTACAATTACAAATCCTCAAGATTCGCAAATTTCATGTCTTGATTTCATATAATCGAGTAGTGCTGATATATAGCGGCTCTCTCCTTCCTCATGTCACTTTTTAGGAGTAGGAAAAAGTTAACGAACGAAATTCCAGGTTAATAACTTTGCAAATTATGAAAACATCAAATGCTTTCCTTTTCGAATTGATTAACTCCCTTGGTTCCTAAGCCGTCTCTTTTTTACATGAATCAGCTTGAGCCTATGCGTGTGGAGAAAGAGCAAGTTTTTTAACAGTCTCATCTGTTCTTATATATTGCTGTTACTGCGAAGCCACATAATATAAACAGTTTATTTTTAACTAAAACTAAATAAAGTCCCATTAGTCAATCACTCCGGGGAAAGCCAGAAGAGGAAGACTAAAAAATGTGTGAGAGAGATAATCATTGAATTCTCACTGGAAAAACAACTGTGCCAAAAAAAACTGTCACTGTTTTTTTTACTGTTTTACGATTTGTTTAGACATGAAAAAATAGGCATTTCGTTAGCACTCCACAAATACTGGAATCAGGATATAACTAAATCGTACATTTGCATGGGTTTACTATGGAATTTTGTTTGACATGGAGATCTGAGCTTATGCTGAGTACGGTTTGTCCCTCTAAACATTAGCCATGATTCATATGCCTGCTCGATCGTTTGCCTTGAGACCAAAGATTTGCGTCAGGCTCAGTCTCAGTTGCAGAAAATATATTCTCCAAAAGCAGTGAAGGTCAAAGTTGTAAGTGCAATTGAAGCGCGGCAAGTTTTCAACGATAATACGAAAAATCAGTCCTTAAACACAAAATATGTTTCTTTGCAACTGAATTACACCTGTACCCTCTAATTCAGAGAAAGAGGGAACAAATAATGAATAAATTTATCAATTCGAGACAATAGTCATAGGAAGGAGCGTACTAAAAAATAGTGTTGCTAACATTTCGAACTCCTTTTGCTAGATTCCTAGAACTCGTTAAAGACCTTTTGCGAGACGTTGTTAAATCATTTCTTGCTTCGAAGTTCGTGGATAAACTGTTGTTTCAGAATTTTCGTCCTAAAAATCAACAAGCGGCCTTGCAAGAATTCTTGTTCACTTTCCTGAAAAGCAATGTTTATCTAATTGTATTCTCAATGCTCTCCTATCGTTGGCGATTAAGTTTATGTTCAACATCTGGAAACTCTACGTGCGTCAGAAACTTTAATCATGACCACATGTTGCTTTGCACTCATCGATCCTGTGAGCTTCACAATGCTTGTCGTATTCGTTTTCATCTGCCTTGTTTCTGTCAGCGTAAGTTCCAAACTATTTTCCTTTTATTATTCAAGATTTCTGATAATGGAATGAATGCCATTATACGTTCAGCCATGTACAACGTTGAGTAGTCCCTCGCTTTTGTGAATTCACAGAGACTTAGTTCCTTTTTGATTTTTCTGAGATAGTCATCTTCAGGGTCAAACGTGAAGTGTGGCACGCCGTACCTGGATGGGGGGGGGGGTATTGAGGGTCAGAGAGAGAAAGAGAGAGAGAGAGGAGTCGTAATCGCCGTGATGCTGGTGTTAGCAATAACATGATATGTAATAAGGCATGTAATAACAAAATCAGATAAGTCCGCCATGTAAAAAAAGAGAAGCACATTGAGGCATTGATCTACCATTATATACATATAGTAAGCATATTAAAGAAGCCCCCATATGAAATATCGCAAAAAGTATACGGAATTTGATCAAATTTAGCAAACTTCAAAGTTTTCGAATATTAGCACTGAATTTATAGGTCACTAGCTGGCTTTACCGGCGTAGCCCGGACCACGTCAGCTGATCCTTGCTCCAACTCCCCCCCCCCACCCTTCCCCCTCCCCCCGCCCCTCCCCGCCTACCCTTCCCACCCATCCATTATGATGCGCTGCAAGGGGTTCTCGTATCAAAGTGACTCACCCGCTGTAGGCTCGTCTTGAATCACCATCCTTCTTAACGCGGATACCGAATGATTCCACTGCTATGGTTTACACGAAATCATGGAATTGACTTGTTAGCTGATGTTGAGAGCTTATTCTTATGCCAAAAATCAATAAATCAATTGAATGGCCCAGCGAATCGCCGCAAAAAGTAGCGCTAAACCACATCCGGGGTCGAATACATGTGTGTGTGCAAAGTTTTAGCTAGATCGGTTCATTGGCGGACGTTTGCATAACGAACGAATAAATAAACGAACACGCTTACAAAGTTCGAGTTTTATATATACAGGGTGTCCCAAAAAATGTGCACACTGTTTGATTGTGGATAACTCTCTTGTAATGAAGTGTTTCGAGAAGCTTTAGGTACCATTTTGTAGATCGAACTTAGATTTACAGTGTAGCGCGAAACGCAGATCGCTCATCTTACTGTAGGATTACGGTAGAAACTTTAAACATATGAAATTGCGAACTTCACATTTAGAATCAGCAACTCTAATTAGCCCATTATGAGAGTTTTCAGGTTGTTTTGCTTCCTTTTCGGAGCAAAATATAGCCTTTCATGGCTCAAAACTCTCTTCAAAGTTTCCACCGTAATCCTACAGTAAGAATAAGCGATCGGATTCGCTCAACACCATAAATGCGATAGGTGGAGAAATTCTCTGACCCCTTCATTTTAAAGCCGGCATCTGGCTGACCCCTTTCACCTGAGGATGAGGCATCAAGGCATAACGGCAGAATTATACAGCTGTCACAATGACACTTTTTGTTTAGAAAGGAAACGCCAGCTGCTCTTCTTCTCAGACATCAAGATTGCAAGAGATTATCGAATCAACAGCGTTTTGTTGGAAAAACGCATGGTCGGAGACCTGCGCACTTGAAGTGGCGTTGCTAACGAAGCATAATCAAAAATTAAAAGGATGTCTGATTCTTTGAATAATTAACATTGTATCAATGAATACACATTGTCTCAAGAAAGAGTTAAGCAAGAGTAGAAAATTTGGATTAGTTAGTGATGGATGCATGTTTGCTGACGATATTTGTACCATATCTTCTTTCACTGAGAGAATAATAGCAAATGAAAAAGCAGTTAGATTACTCATTCTCATGCTTTTGAATCATATATAAAAGTTCAAAAAAGACCTTCTTGGTTTTAAAAGTTCAAAGTTCTAATTACCCAGAATTGGCTGATATTGTAGCTAAATCAAACTGCTCGTATCTTACTTCACAGAAAAGCTAGGAAAAAAGAGATGGTCTGCGTCGATTCCTCGTGCTCTTAAGTATCGAACGGTATATAAACTTTTGGTGCACGAAGCTTTCCCAGTCCAAAAAAGTCTTGCTCCGGCGATCCATAGAGAGCCGGAGCGGGGTGGAGCAAGTTAGTATTGAATACCTCCACCTTATTTTTGAAAAGCCACAAGTTTTTTCACCCAACAACCTATATACCTTCAGAAAGCCCACGAAAAAGAAATTCGACATAGACCGTCTATTTTTCTTTAGCTTTCCTCTACCTAGAGTTGCATGGCATTTAGCTAAAAACATGTGTGGTTTGTTAAGAAATTCCTGCGTGAAGAATAAATGAAGGTGCCAGATTGTCTAACAGTATCACAGAGCAAGACCTTGCTAGTGATCGTAAACCGTCTCTTTTTTTTCTATCTTTGTCCTTTGTTTCAAAAATGAAGGACAAACTAATTACACATAGGGTATAAAATTGCTCGTATCTCGTTTCAAAGAGAAGCTATGAGAAAATAGACGGTCTAAGTCGATTTTCCATGATCTCAGCTTTCGAATGGTATAAAGCATGTTAGGGTTTTTTTTTGTTTCCCGGCTCTAAAAAGCACTTGCTCCGGTGACCGATAAAAGCCAATGTATTGGGGGAGCTGGGTGGAGCAAGTTAATAGTAAATATCTCCACCTCATTTCTAAAAACTGGCAATTTTTCGCCCAGCAGTCTTTGCACCATTCGAAAGCTCAGGAAAGGGGGATTCGACGTAGACCGTCGACACTTCTTCCCAGCCCCCCTTTACCGAGAGATACGCTAATCGAAATCATGCCCATTTTCAACAGCAGTTTTTTTACTGCTGTTTATCTATCTGTGTTACAGAGCAAGCCTTCATTAACAAAAGTAAACCGTCGACTTTCGCAGCATTCATTTGGAGAGCAGTAAGTGAGGACACAAAATCAGTTGATATATGAAGTACATAAAATGCCTCATATCTCGCGGCACAGAAGACCTAGAAAAAAGTCGACAGTCTATGTCGATTCTACATGACCTCACCTTTCAAATGGTATGTAAATTGTCGGGGCATTTTGCTTTCAAAGCTCACTTACCCCCTTCACCTTACAAGGATGGGAGTAGCAGAGACCCCCTCTACCTAGAAGGGGCTCGGCTCCCCCTATCGCACCTATGCTCAACACTGTAAATCTAAGTTGAACCTCGCTCTACAAAATGGTACCTAAAGCTTCTCGAAAGACTCCATCACAAGAGAGTTATTTACAATAAACATGTGCACTTTTTTTTGGGACATCCTGTATATATTAGGGTAAGGTAATTTAATTTTCTAAGGTAATTTCGCTTTTTTCAAACGGACGCTATGTGTGGTGGAACCAAGATATCGAAGAGCTCTTGGTAGCATTCGATGCAGAATTTCATCCTCTTTCTAAATTTTATGAAAATATTGCAGCATAGTCAATGAGTTTTCGGAAAATTACGAAAGTGTGCGATCCATGCTTTCAGAGATGCTCAGATTCCACAATGTTTTTAAATTTTTACATCAATCCTCCGAAGAAGTCCAAGTAACGATTCGATAGAGCAAACCTCATAGAATACGGCATTTTTTCTCTTTTTTATGTCTCGCCATAATTTCTCAAAATATTTATTATTGAAACCATCGAATTTTGACAGGCCTAAATCATCAAACACCAATAAACCTTCGGAATTTGAAACTTCCGAGATGGTATTATGATTTAACGATAATTTTACAAAGCAAATGCGAGTTTACGGAATCGAAATATATTAGGTTGCTGCAAAAGTAATGGACGATTTGCGAATTTTCACTTTGACGTGCTATAACTTTTGGGAGAGTTCACATTTCCGAATGCGGTAAAAACTATCAGAAGCAGCAAACCTTCTGCAATGCAGCGCACAATTATTTATACTCATATCACGAACGGGCAGAAAAATATGGATTGAAAAATAAAAAAGGTTCTTCTGCTAGAACCTTGTCTTTGACAATTCATATCTTCCTTCAAAGTTTGTTAGTATAAATGTTAAGTAGCCTATCTTGTAGCCGCAAGCCAGTAGTACAAAACGCAATAAAAAGAATTCGGACAGAAAAGTTTGCGAATAAGAAAAAAATTGAAATTTGAAATTTCTCACTTTTTTAAAACATTTTTTCAGTGTGCCTCAAAGTCCCGAATATAGAATTTTTTGATTTTCTAGGTATAAACAGCTGGATGTTTTTGCAAAAACTGCTAACAGGATGCCCTAGCCCTACGCTTACAGAATTGAGCAAAGCTCCGGCGATTGACTTCTTCAGAATAAAATTATGGGTCATAAAATGACCGCAACAGCTACCCATGTTTAGGCGCCGATATCTCAGTCTGGATAGCCTCAAAGAACACAGTCAAGTATGCATAATGTAGACAATTTCTTTACATACAGTAGCTAAATTTTCGAAGAAATCCCGTTGATACGCGCTTGAATTCTGGCCGGAAAAGTGAAGGCAATGAAATTCTGAATTTGGATGCGGTTATTTGAAGCTCAGTAACTTTATAACAGATGAGGATGAGAGCGCGTTTTAAGCATCTTTAGATAGAGCATGGAAACAGCTTCGCGATGGTATACTACATCCATTGTAAAGAAAAAGTATTGATGGAAAAAAGTTGCCCTGAAAAAAGGTTTGGAAAATCGGCCATGACTTTTGCACCAACCTAATACAATTTCGATTTTTCCGGATACAGCCCAGAACGCGTTCGAAAATATGAATTATGATGATTTTGTACGCGAAAATTACACGAAGGGCAAACAAAAAACATTCATTAGAAGGAGGAGAACAAGCTGCATCAAATGACACTCGACGATGTTTGAGGTGACCAAGAATGCAAACTGATAGCATCGATTAAAATTCTACTAAAAAATTTTGAGGAGTTATGTGAAGGAGAAAAATTGTTTTGTATCTTGTAGGGTTTGCTCTATCCACTCGCTACTTGAGCTTCTTCAGGTAGATATGAAGATTCTGAAAAAACAGCTAAAGTTGACCATAGCAAAAAGCATTGGTCGCAGATTTTGAGGGTTTTCCGAGAGCTCATTGACTGCGCTAAAAGGATTTATAATCGTT